GCGGGTCCGGGAGCTTCCCGAGGGGGCAGAGCTGGCGGGGCGGTGCTGCCTGCCGGGCAAGGGGGGCAGGTGGCAACCGGCTCGCTTTCTCTCCAGGGTCGCAGGATGCCGCTCACGACCTGGAGATGATGAAAAAGCATAAGGTAGCGTAACACGGAAATAAAAACGCGCCTCGCATAGTGCTTGCTAGCGGATTTCTTTCTCAAGTCAAAGAGTCTAAAATTGTACAAATTCACAAATTGTACAAATACAAAAAATTGCATTACATTTGCACTGTCAAAAGGCCGCGCCGTTTGCAGATGGATGGATGGATGGATGCCTTTGAGCTTCACACGAAGCTGAAATACTTTGCTGCAAGACTAATGGTTGTTGAGAGCTGTTTTCTGGGACAGATTCCTGCATTGCCATACACGTTTCAGTTTCAGACACTAAGCAGCATCAAGCCCCCTTGCCTTGTGGGGGTTGATGAAATAAGAAAAACAAAGCAGCAGTTCTATGTCTGTCCCGAACTTTGGTCTTTTTACTCTTCTCTGTTACAGTAATGGGGTGATAAGGCCTTCCGACAGTGGTGCTTCTGCAGGACAGGGAGTGCACCAGTCTGGCATCTGGTGCCATCTAAATGTCACTTCGCTGTAAGTTAAAATAACCCAACCTGGCCGTAGCCTGAACGGAGCAAAGATGGCAGGAGGCTGGAGGTAGTCTTGCCTGCCAAGCGCAGGTATCTTTTACTCTGAAATCCTTCTGCTCCAGTAAATGGTACTGGCAACTCAGGAGGAGGAACATTGAGCTGATGGGCTAGGGCAGGCTTGAAATTTGGGGGATTGTTGGGTGGCCTGTGTTCTCATTCCTATTGCTTTCTCTTTTATTTTCTGTCTGTGCACTGACAACTCCCTTTTCTGTTGAAAATCCTTACTTTAGTCTGTGATTGTTTGATCACAGATCTTTTAATTTCCCCTCAAAAAACTATATCACAATATGTTTTAACACACGTTAAAACTTTGCTTGGAGAAAAGTATTCCATAGCCTATGTATGTAAAACTAGCATTGCAGTTGTGTAAGCTACAGTCTGTATGCCTGAAGAATAATTCACCTTTGCTACTGCTCATTTTGCTTGCTGTCTTCAGAAAATGCCTTTTTTTTTTTCCTTTTTTTTTTTTTTGACTTAGGTTACTCACGTTCTAAATGTGGCATACGGAGTCCAAAATGCCTTCCTCAATGACTTTATATACAAGACCATTTCTATTCTGGACCTCCCAGAAACTGATATTATCTCCTATTTCCCAGAATGTTTTGAGTTTATTGAGAAAGCCAAGATCCAGGTATGGTATATCAATAATTAATTTTAGCAGTTATCCTGTTTAGATTATTTATTACACTATTTAAAACCTAAAGCAGCTTCTTTTGTCAAAAGAAAGTATGGCACCAAGTGAATAGTTTTGACGTTCTAAATGTGGCATACGGAGTCCAAAATGCCTTCCTCAATGACTTTATATACAAGACCATTTCTATTCTGGACCTCCCAGAAACTGATATTATCTCCTATTTCCCAGAATGTTTTGAGTTTATTGAGAAAGCCAAGATCCAGGTATGGTATATCAATAATTAATTTTAGCAGTTATCCTGTTTAGATTATTTATTACACTATTTAAAACCTAAAGCAGCTTCTTTTGTCAAAAGAAAGTATGGCACCAAGTGAATAGTTTTGCCATTGCCTTGTTTAAATAGAGAATCCAAGCAATTTCTAAGCATTCCTAGAGACATGGCACTGCTGTTAATCACCATTCCCTTCACTATTGTGTTTTCAGAATGACTATCTTCTGTGCTTTAGGGATATGCTTCTTTAATACAGTTAGACCAGTGGCTGACTTTAGATAAATCCCATTGGAAGTCCAAGTCACTACATCTGGCAGAGGGAAAAGGAGAGACTTTACTTCCTATAATTCACCCATCGGGGATGTTGGTTTGGATTAGAAGCAAGCCTAACAGGGCTTTTACAGATCTGCATGGTTTGTCAGCAGCCATCCACCATCCTTGTGCTTTTCCTTCATCATCTATTGAAGATGCGACACATTTGAGCTATGAATCCACATAGAATTATGTACCAAGACTGTCAGAGAATGTGTTAGTAGTCTTGGAGCCAACCAGTGATTTTAACTGCTAAACAAAATCCTGAAAAAGATGTGACATAGGAAATAGGGTGAAGGGACTCCTTCTGGGGTTGCTTGGCAGCCCTGTCTGTAACCAAGATCATCCCTGACTCCTACTTGTTAAATTCAGGCTTAGCATGTAATTTATGACAACCATTGTTCTGGTATCAGCACTGTGACTTGACAAGCAAACCTTATTGCACATTATTCCACCATATCTACCATATTCATTATTTATGTAGATTAGGATAAAAGAAGATAATCTTGCCCCGGCTTTCTTTGTGTCACACAGTGTTCTTTCCTTCTCTCATTTATCATTTACGAGCTATGTGATATGCATTGTCACTTAATGACCTTTTCAAGGTTTCTAGTTACGGTTTCCACTTCATTTCTAAATGAGACTTGCCATTCATAACTGTAGTGTTGCTTTCTGCCTCTGGTGTTTATGTTCCAGTTACTATTTTGTAAGCTAAGGAGTTTTCCTGAAAACTTTTACAGCATTATTAATAGGTTTTTTTAGTGGGGAAGTTGATTAAAAGAGCAGGTAGTTGATGGAATAGATGTTCTCCAGGATCAGTTCACGAAGCATGTTATAGTATGCAGAGACAGATCTCTGGATGGTTTGAATCACTTTACTTGCTTTGTCAAAATGGTGTTAAAAGAGCTTATGATAAATTGTATTATGAAGTGCTCTTCTGTTTAAGTAATCACAAGGAGACACTACTGTTTCATCTCCTGACCTGGGGGAGCGAGAGACGTTCACTGCTGAGAGAACGTGATATGTGAGAAATTATTACTAGAACATGGTTATCTTAATGAAGGAGTATGAGAGCACTTGAATTTGAGAATGCAAGAAAAGCCTGCGCTGCTCAGTAAGTCACTGCCAGTAAGTCACTTGTAACAGGACTGACTTTTCTAAAACTGTAACTGCTCAGGTCTGTAGACACCACGGCACAAACTCTGATACTGATCAGAGCTCACCTTTTCTTCTAGGCTCCAAATTGGTAGGCAGATTTTCCATGACATGTTAGGTGACCCATGTCAGATCATAGTGCTATGAATGAGGGATTTTTTTTTTTATCTTTCTGTTTAATACCTAATTATAAAACCTCTAAAATCTCGTCTGTCCAGGGAGGAAATCTTAGCTCATTCATGAACATCTCTCCTTATTGCTCCCTCTGTCCTTCCTAAAGAAAAAGCCCTGGCACCACTGTGAAGTAAAGTGGATCCCTAAGGAATTACATTAGCCCATGGCTCTTCACCAAAAACTTTACGCTTCTTTTTCATGTCTTTCCTTGGTGAGGCTTTTTGCCCACTGTATATAACCACTACATAATCACCTTTTCTCTTGGTGGAAGGTGATTTTGCTTCCCTCTGTATAAAAATTTAAAAAATACAACTTGGTCTTAAGTTCTTGCAAGACCATGGACCATTTCTGGGTAGGCGAAGGTTAGGCTATCAGGATCAGAGCAATGAGTTCTTTGTAAATAGAGATTAATTTCATATCTGCAGTCTGTTTCTCACTTTTATTCTGTATTCATATCTAATACAAAATCAGTTAAGAATTACATGCCAAACTAATCTTTGTAATAAAGAAACAATGAAGTTTAGCAAGGAAAAATAATTGTTCTCAAATTCAGTTTAATGTTGTTGCCCATGTTCATTCATGTTCAGTAATTTTTAGGTCTGTTCCGTGGATATCACTATATAATTTTTGGTAACATACAACAAAACAGTCATTAAAAAAAACCCTTCAAACTTGAAAGAAATGTGAAAGAGGAAAATAAAGAATGAACTGTACAAAGGAAAAAAAAAAAAGATCACTTTCAGTGCTTATTTTTTACCCTCAGTGCCACTGCTAGATATGGATCTTGATTATGGTACATTATGTCTGAAATAACTCCTATTAAATCAGTAAAAACAACTCCAGATCTACAGTGGGTAAGCTTATAGAATGGCTTCATTAGCAGAGGCATAAATATAATTTTTAATGTCGTAATTTTAATGCCATTATTATAAAGGAGATAGTGGATTTACAGGTTGCCACTGGCACTTCTTCAAGTAGTTGAAATATACGTACAAGTCCGCTTGCACTCTGCTGTAGTCTGTGTGATCAGGAAGTGTGCCTCTGTGAATGTGAGAAAGGAAATGAAGATTAGAATTTCCAGCAGGCGATGCAAAGGGGATGTGATTTCCATTGCAAAAAACCAGTGGTATTGCAGTTCATTGTGCTGGGATGCAGGAGCTTAGATTCAGTTCCTAGCTCTGCCATAATCTGTTCGCGTTAACTTGAGCAAGTCATTCTTCTCGTCTCAGCTTGGCATTTCTTCGACAAGGATAATACCACTCAATTTCATACGTCTTTGTCTTATTATTTAAATGTGAAGATTTTTGGAGCAGGAACCATTTTCTGCTCGGTGTGTTTAATATACCAGATAATTGCAACTCCGGGGTCTGTACCATAAGCCATCAAGTTCCTGGAAAGGAACCCTGGTGGTTACAAGGTCTTTTTTTCCTCTGTGTAAAATGCTCATTGAATAATTTGTGCCTGTTAAGGGCAGACAGAGCAGGCTGTTTACATATAGAATATATTTTTTTAGCGTGAAGTATCTGAGTGAATTGTGTCGTGTTTCAGTATCTTTATTCAGCACATGGAGATGCTAGGGGTCTGGGTTTTGTTTTGTTTTGGCTTTTTTGTGAAAGTGGCATTTGGCAGACAGATTGAACTGAGCCTGTTCCACATCATAGTCTGATGTGTAAACGTGACAGCATCATGAAACCTGGGCCTTGCAAATGGCTAAGCCACACTAGATTGTATAGTTGATTTTGTGTTAACGCACCCCTGTTATTTCTTAACAAAACTTGCAGTGTTTTTTTTAAAGAGTCATTCAGGTGTCTCAAAGATTGTGTGGGAAAAAGTTCAAGTAGGAATAAAACATTAATTTTATAGATAATTCAGGATAAGCCTGAATTTAAACCCCAGGAGAAACATTCGTGAATTTATGGGAGGAGCAGTAGTTTGGGATTTTGCACCTTAGTCCCCCAGTTAAGGGACCTTAGTTGTAGCAGCTGTACCAGCCACTACAGTTGTACCAGCAGTGCAATGGGGAGGTAGAGATTTGTTGCAAATCACACGGTATCTTTTCGGATTTTTTCTGTTCCTATGCATGATCCTGCTTACCCAGAATCTTCACTGAAGAACTCCAGAGTATGCAAGAAGCGTGCGACTGAAACTACAGGATGTTCTAAAATCTGCCTCTGTGCCTAGCTGTTTGCTGCCTTGCTATGTTTTTAACCTGGTAACAAGATACAGTCAAGTTCCTTTCCATATTGTAAATAAAATCTATTTTAAAATTGGCATCCAGTTAGATTAGATATCTTTGTATCCCGGACGTCTGTTGATGTGGTTTTTACATGAGGGGGCTGCTGCAAGGTCTTGGGGAAGGGACAAAGGAATGTTTTTTAGTTCTAAGGTATGAATTATGTTTGAAGTATTTGATAATTATAAAGTGGCTTTGGTTAGAAAAATATTTTAATTTTGGGCTTCTATATCTGTGTTTGGAGTTACTCGTATGTGTAAATATTTGCTTTGAGCTCAGCAAGGAGCTTTTAATAAGTCTTAATAGATTTTTATATAAAGTTTCTATTACTTGTTGCTATCTACCTAATGAATATCCCAACTTATGTTTCATTTGTTTCTTGAAGGATGGCGTGGTACTGGTCCACTGTAATGCAGGAGTCTCCCGCGCAGCAGCAGTAGTCATCGGTTTTCTAATGAATTCAGAAAGACTGAGTTTTGCTAGAGCCTTTGCCTTGGTGAAAAATGCAAGGCCTGCGGCTTGTCCAAATCCCGGCTTCATGGAGCAGCTGCACAAGTACCAAGAACAGAATATAAAGGCAAATGGAAGCATAAATGATCACGACTGATCAAGAGGGAGAAGTGAAACAATCTGTCTTGACTACACAGCACAGATGTTGGATGTACTTTAATCTGTCATTTTGCAGTCCCCTTTCACATGTCCATATTTAAAGTCTACATATTTTTTTTTCTTACCCCCCCTTTGAATCCCTTTTTTTCAGCATGTAGTCTAAAGGCCAAATGGTATTCCACTGACTGCAGAGATGATTTTGCCCAAGAACAAGCTCTTCCTAGCGTGCTAGTAAAAAGATAAAGTTCAATTTTCCTTTCCTTTTTTATTGAACCATCAGAAAATGCAGGTAATAGAGAAAGAAAATAGAATAAGTTGCCCTGTTTAATACTAAACCACATCTATGCACTCTAGTTGGTTGTAAAATCTAGATAATAAAATGTTCATATAATAAAGTACCTTGATACAGATTTTTAAATTTATATTGCAACTGAAGAGGATTTTACTGAATTTTGTGGGCTAGCCAGCCATTGAATATTTTTGGAAATTAAAACAGATGGTCTTCTGAGGATGCTCAAAGTCTGTAGGATGCTTTAATGCTTCATGTCTTTCTACTGTTTCTCATCAAGTAGTGATCCAAAGTGCACTAACATGTTTTCAAAGTGCTGGAACCAGGCTATCAGGTTTCTTTGTAGATCATTTTGGTGGAGAGAAGAAAAATGTTTATAATGACCTCCCTCTGTCTCGCTGCTGCTGCTGCCGCCTTTTCTTTGCATTCGGTCCTCATTTGCTGTCCCCTCACTCCATTCCACATTATGTATAAAGAACAGATATCATAGTGACCCTCCTGACAGATCTTGGGCTGGAATTACTGTCTTAAGATGGCATTTGAAAAAAAAAAAATATCTCTAAAAGATTTTAATAGTACTTTTTGTGGCCTTCGTGCCAGTTCTAAATGGTTTGATGATATATTTATACGTGATAAAATAAAAAGAACACGGTGTGTGGATAGATTTTGTGCTAGTGTTTTGAAAGGTTTGCTTTCAAGAACTGATACCGTATTCTCACACCACTCGTTTGAACTGTAGTGTGTCACTGTGTGTGAACTACACCGTGTCTGGTTCTCCATAGCAGTTGCCCATGCTAAATGCTAATGCAAGGTTTAGGTTACACCCTACACCCCACACCCCCCGCCGCACCTGATTGCTGGTCTGTGGTCATCATTTCCCCATTTCCATGGGGGAACCGGTCATTGCATTTCCATTTCAGACGTGGATGGCTGTGCGTGCTGTCAACCTTGGCTATGACCGACACTCTCTTCTCACTTCGTCTCAGTGACAGGTTTATGAGTTCATAGCTCATAGAAATAATCCAGGACAAGCATTTGGAACGATAACTACGGTTCTTTACGTCCTCCGCATAACGATCGCAGCTAACGACACCCCACCCTCCGTGCGAGGGACACTCCCCGCTGTCAGGTAACACTTCCCGCCCCGCGGCGTGGGGGGCGGGCCGCGCGGTGACGTCACCTTCCCCACCCCCCGG